TGGATCAGATGACATCTCCAGTCATTCAGTCTGACATGCTGCAGATCACCTCTGTATCAAATAGCCTTCTTCGTATGGACTAAGACATCAGATTAATTACAGAGCTGAAGCTTTGACAGTTTTGCTTTATTTAGGGGGATGAGATGAGAATGGCAAGAGGACACTCAAGTAACCCTGTAAAGAGGCTCACATGGCTAGGTGCTGCAGCCTCCTGCTAACAGCCATGTGTGGTGCTATCTTGGAGGTAGATCCTCTAATCTCTGTTGACTCTTCAAAATAACTGCAGTCCTAGCCAACATTTTGCCGAAATCCCATAAAAAACTGTAACCCAGAACCATTCAGTTAAGCTGCTCCTGATTCCCTAACCCACAGAAACTGTGAGATAAGAAATAACTTTTGTTTTAAGTCACGAAGTTTTACAGATAGTTTATGGTGCAGCAAAAAGAAAAAAAAAAGGAAATGAAAAGATAGATGAAGCCAAGAACCCCATAGCATATCGCAATGATAATGCAAGAATTGGCTCAGGCAATCTGACTCAAGAGCCCATATATTCAACCACCACATTATCCAGGAGGTCAAGATCATGTCTCAAGTAATACTAAAAGGAGAATATTGTCACATTCTCTTTTTAAAAAAATATATTTTATTGATTTTGTACAGAGAGGAAGGGAGATAGAGAGTTAGAAACATCGACGAGAGAGAGTCATCGATCAGCTGCCTCCTGCACACCCCCCACTGGGGATATGCCCGCAACCAAGGTACATGCCCCCGACCGGAATCGAACCTGGGACCCTTCAGTCCCCAAGCCAACGCTCTATCCATTGAGCCAAACTGGTTTCAGCAATTGTTGTCACATTCTTATGCCACTGTCTGGGCAGAGGATACAGCCTTTCCTTGGCTATTAAGCTAGCACCATTGCAAGGTTATGTTCTAGGCAGCCACTGCCCTTGCTTCTAAGTTTCCTATCTGCCCAGGCTTGATCCAGCATAGAGTGGACGCTTATCTTACCAGTATCCCTGCACCCATTCCTTTGGGCTTGTGCTCATCTCCACTTGCAATGATGTAATTCTGGTAAAGCTGCCAGTCACTGTGCTCTTCCTGTCCTACAGGTGGAATTATGACAAGTTAGATAATCATAGAATACTATCAGAGACTGACTACAGTAATTGGTTCAAAACCAGTGACATGAGTTACATCAGCCAAAAAAAGCCCTTCTCTGAGATTTAGAAATACTGCATGAGGTCTCTAAGCCAGATGATGTGAGATGTATGGTCTTCACACAGGAAAGATGTCAGCATGCAGAAAAAGGCAGAGAGTGAGAGAGGCCACTTTATATCCTCTGAGAACTTGAATACAGCCAACCCTGAGAGCAATTTCATCCTCCCTCATCTCTGTGAGTCAATACATTCTCTCTTTGTTTTAAATTAGTTTGAGTTGAGTTTCTATTACTTGCCCTTGGGTTATGAGTATATGAAGAATTTATTCTAGTTTGAGGAACGTTTATAGGAACCTTCCTTCCATTCTCCATGAGCTGCAGTGGTCCTATGTCATCAGAAGAACCTGGAGAACTTCCCATAGAGGGTGAAGACCCTTCCCTTCATCCTTCAGGAAGCACCTGGCTTTTCTGGAAGCCAGTGATGGTCTGAGGGTAAGCAAAATAAAACAGCGTCAGGATGGATGGGTAGCTCCGTCATTTCGTTTAAAACCTTAGTCATTTCTCTATCCCTTCTTTCCTTAGTTGCTCACCCCTTCCCCCAGTTCTTAGCATACACACAGACATCCTGTTAGTCACTGAGTCCTGCTGATTTGGATCAAACGCTTTATGGAAGTGGGTGGAGTAACTATAATGAAAGTGGGTGGCCAGCAGACTCTTCCTCTGGACATCTTGCCAATCCAGTTTTTCTTCTTCATTTCTAGGGCCACCACCATGGACCATTGCAATTGGTCTCCTTGCCTCTAATCTCATCCTCTGTAGTCCATTTCTCTTATTTCTTCTAGAATTTGTTTTCTAATGCACACTTTTGATGGCCACATGCTTTTGATAAAGTAAAAAGTCTTCCATTTTTCCACGGTGACACATGAAAAATTTCTTCTTTTTTTAAAAATATATTTTATTGATTTTGTACAGAGAGGAAGGGAGAGAGATAGAGAGTTAGAAATATCGATGAGAGAGAGTCATCGATCAGCTGCCTCTTGCACACCCCCCACTGGGGATATGCCCGCAACCAAGGTACATGTCCCTGACCGAAATCGAACCCGGGGCCCTTCGGTCCCCAAGCCGACACTCTATCCATTGAGCCAAACCGGTTTCGGCTGAAAAATTTCTTAACTTGGTGTTTACAACTCTTCATGAACTGATCTGCATTTGCTATACAGTGATTGGCGACATCCACAAATCAACTTTTCAATCTTCTCATATTCCCATGGCAGCACAGCTTACCCTTATCTCTTCCCTCAAGTTAAAACACTCCTTTTCTATGAATCTTCAAGATCCATTTCAATCCATTATTCCATAAAGCACTTCCTTAGCAGTGAACACTCCTTTCTGTGAACTCTGTAAACAACTGTTGTCTAGACTAGAGTTTTCCAAACTGTGCTCACATTTCTAGGGAGTATTTGGCCAGCACAAGTCAAGCCTTTGGTGTTTTTGTAAAACTATTGATTATATATTCAAATTTGACTGAGCATATTATTTCCAAACTCTGTTTCTTTCTTGTCTTCTACTTCCAAATGATATCCTCATGCTACGGTGGTGCATGCATTCCCAAGTACAAGTGAAGGATCATTAACATTTACTTTACAACCAACAGTTAGAGAACTGATCATTAATGTTATTATTTAAATCCATGACCATTGGGAAAATAGTGTGAGAAAGAGAACTGCTGTAATAATTTCCACAGTCTCTAAAACAAATACACTTTGTTATTTATAGTTTCCCACACCTCACCTTTGTTCCCCCTCTCACCATTTTAATATGGGATTTGAAACTAGAAATTGGTATACACTTTGTTGTGTTGGAATAGTTGGACCAATATTTATTGTGTATCGACTCTCTGGCAGAAACAGTGATAGATGCTTGTGACACAAAGATAAACCCGTGCCAGAAGATGCAGAGTTTTCCAGATGGATCTCATGTACAGAGACATGTTAGGCAGAGGGAACAGCATACACAAACGCCTGCATCCTAGAATGAGCCAGGCATGAAACCTTTGTGGACCAGATTCAGTGGAATTTTTTAAAAAAAAATTTTAAATTGAAAATTTAAGTTTGACATCCTCTGGACTGAATTAAGCTCTTTCCCTTTGTCAGACAAACCTCTTTGCCATCTTGCTCTTCACAAGGTCAGTTCAGAGATTAGATCCAGACGCAAATAATCTTTATCGAGATCTGCTGGTATAGTTCATTTCATATAATATATACATAGATCCTCTAGTTTTCACACCATTTTAGGTGTTTACACTGTCCCAATTTAGACATGAGGGAATCAAGGTTCAGATGGATAAAATGACTTGTTTGGGTGTCACAAATGGGAAATAATGAAGGGATGATGTGAGTAACATCCAACTCTGGAGAAATGAACCAGCGGGGCATTTTGGGGACTGCGATGAGGAGGATCTTTCCTCCCATTTCAGAACACCTTGCCTTCTCAGGTTTTGAGTTAACTCTATCTTTTATAGAGAGAAGACTTTAAATAGAAGGGTGACCAGATATCCATGATATTAGTAGGTGACTTTAGGAATTTGGATTTTAGGAAGCTTCTCCAGTCCCTCCTGCACTGGCGCTGGCACATAGTAGGAACTCCTTTTTTTGTTGAAGGATTGAATCCTCACGTGCTGTGGTTACTCTCTCCTTTTGGATTCCAAGTCCCTTGTGGGCAGGGTCCCAATTGTGTCTTTCCAGGAACACTGTGCATGCAGTTTGGGTAGACTTTGGAAACCATTTGTTGAATAATGGATGAGTGAATGAATTTTGAGGTGGTGGTGGTGGGGGTTGAGGGAAGGCAAGCCAGGCTCTAAAGAGTTTCTAGGGTTTATGGGACGCTGCCCTAGCTCTCCCTGGCGCCTCTGGATTGAGCCACTTCTTCCCTCTTCCCTGTGGCCTCCACGTCTTCCAAACCAGCCTGGAGGAAGGGGTTATGCAGCGCAGGTCCGGGGATGCCGCCCCGAGGAGCCAGGTCTCCTAGGGCGGCGCCCACTCCCTTTCTGGGGTGGCGGGAAGAGGTGAGGACCTGGGACTCTCTGAGCTCCCCGTGGGGCCCCTGTCCTGCGACCTGTCACCATAGCCCTCTACCTGTCTTCCGGCCGCCCCTTCGCAGCCTGGGCCCAGGTTCGAAGGGCGAGCACCTGGCCCGTCCCCCCTGGGGGGCTCCACCGGCCGACCTCGGGAGCCGGCCCTGGGCGGCAGGGCGGGCCCCAGCGTCCCCCCACACCGGACCGGTCCCCCGGGGCGCGGCCCCGCCGTCGCCCCCGCCCCCCTCCCGCCCCGGGGGCCGGGCCGGGCTCCCGGGGGGCGGGGACTCGCCCAGTGGCAGCAGCGTCCGGGCCGGCGGCGGGCGCGGGGCGGCTTCCTGCAGGCAGGCGGCGCCGGGGCGAGCCGTTTGCCCGCTGCAGCCACCGCCGCCGCTGCCGCCGGGTCGCGGGGGCCGCGGCGCTCGGGGCCGCGTCGGTGCCACCCGGGCGCGCTGCGCGGCCGTCGCTGCTGCCCGCGCTGGTGCCGCCGCCGCCGCCGCCGCCGCCGCTGCCGGTTACGCCAGCTCCGCCGCCGCCGCCCGCTCTGATTCTGCGCATAGGCAGCCCCCAAGCCTGTCATTCTGCAAAAACACAGTTTACTCCACACGCCGCGCGCGCACACACACACACACACACACACACACACACTCACTCACACACACACACCCGCGCGCACACCCGCGCACCCTCGCCCCCCGCGCACACGCACGGAGGAGGGCGCGAGCGAGGAGCCGACGCGCACCCCCGGCGAGCCAAGTTCCGCAGCCTGGCATGGCTTCTGGGGACCTTTACGAGGTACGGGGACGCGGGGGCTCGGGCGGCCCCAGCCCGCGGGCGGCGGCGGGCGGCGGGCGGCGGGGCCGGGCCGGGGCCGGGGCCGGAGTTGCCGGGCTCGCGGCGGCGGCGGCGGCTGAGGCGGCCGGAGGGCGGCGGGGGCCGGGGCGCGCCTCCCGCCCGCCCTCCCGCGGCGCCCGCGCCCGCTCCCTCTTTCTCTTTCTCTCTCGCGCACACACACTCTCTTACTCCATCTACTTTGCGGCCTGGGAGGGGAAGGAGGAAGCCGGGCGGAGCCGGGGCGGGGGAGGTAGCGGTCCCGGGGAGGTGTTTCTCGCCCTCGAGTACAGAAAGTACAGGTAAAAGTCGGAGCCGGACGCGCCGGGAATGTGGGGGGCCCCGCGGCGCGGCCGGGGCGGGTGCGGGGCGGGAGGTGCGGGGCCCGGGGTGGGCCGGGGGCGCGGGAGAGGCGGGGGTGGGGGGTCTGTGAGAAGGGGGGGCGGTGGGAGCGGAGCCCAGCCCGGGCGAAGCGCGGTCCTGGTGGGGGAGGTGCGGGGAGGCGGCCGCAGGGTGTGGGGGTTCGGGAGACGCCCCGTCAAACCGCTCTCCGGGGCCCCCAGACCGGCGCCCCCTCCCCCCACCTGCTGCCCCAGACAGGGCGAGGAGCCCTCCAGGCCAGGGTGGCGTGGGGGGCGGTCCTTGCAGGTGTGGTGCTCGCTGCGGGCGGAAGGGGGCGCTGCAGATGGCCCTCAGTGGTGGAAGGAAGAGAACGTGGAAGGTGTGGGTGGTGGTAACACGTGGCCAGAAGACATGGGATGGGAGCAGGGCTCCCAGCACTCTGTCATCTTCAGCAGATAGCTGCCTCCAGGTACACACCATCGGCACCTGACACTTCGGAAAGCGTCTCAAAAAGTGGTCAAGATAGACATTCTTCTGTCATCTTTGAAACACTCAACAGCCATGGCCTATGGGAAGCTAGGTTTTAGCTATTAGCTCTGGACACAACTGTTCATGCGTTTGGATTCCCCATGAGTGGATAAAATAACAACTTCTACTCCTTGGGGAGAGTGCCCCCGAAGAGGTATTGGTCCCCAAGAGAAGGGTCGGGATGGGGAAGCTAAGAGACCAGCCATCTGCAGCCTGAAGGCCTATTGGTCCTCCAAGAAACAAGCCTCATCAGTCAGCGTGGACCTTGACTCCATTAACACTCACCCTGGTTCTCGAGGCTTTGGGTAAAAAGTTTTTGGTAAAAGCCTGAAAAGGTAGTATTGGCCTCGTGGGGAAGAGACGGCAGGGGTGATTCACTCAGAAGAGAATGCAGGGGTGATTCACCTGCCATGAGCTTCTTTTCTCTGGCCCTCTGAACAGCTGATGTTTTTTCAAGATGGTGGATTTGCTGGCTGGTGTGAGAAGAATGGAGGACAAGCAAGTTAGCATCGTGGCTTCCTATGCTCCTAGGGTCTTTTAATGATTCTGGACTTGGTGAGGCCTACTCAAGGAGTAGGCCTAGCAGGTGGGCTCAGGTGGGATGGATCTTAGCATTCATTGAGAGAACGATGCAAGTTGACCTCTTCTCTCCTGCCTTCCTCATCTCTATGCCAATAAGGAAGATGAAGTTGGGTAGAAACTTGGTGAAAAACTCTGTCAGATCACGGCTGCTGGGTCACCCAGGAAGCACTCTGGTTTGTGTCAAGATGGCAGAGCAATTTCTGAAATCAAAAGTTGAAGCACAGTAAAGTAGGAGGTTTGATTGAGCTTTTGGAAGAATAACTAGCCCTATTTGTGCATTGCCAAAAGTAAATATTGTTCAGGGGCAAAACTCATCTCGTTAGGAGTGTGGATTTTTCTACCCATTGTTGTTGAGTCATCGAAGAGCTGCTGACCATCCCTGAGTAAAAAGTTACACTATGAAGGCAGTAAGAGAACATATTAGGAACTGTCAGTACTTACCCATGTAAAGTTTGGAACTTATGAATCTTCAGGGGATAATTTCTTGTTTAATGTTCATCTGAAACTGCCCTCCTTAATATTGGTAATTATAGTTGCCAGATGAGTCCATTAAAAGGGGAGTTTTCACACTGTCCTTGGAACTGTCTTAACACCTCAAGAGCTCTTATTGGAATTCAATAAACAGGACAATAATAATAATTACTTCTGTGATAGTAGGTAATTGTACTAGAAATAAAATAATTTTCCTTTGGCCGTTTTTTTTTTTTTTTTTTTTTTTTTTTTTTTGCATAGACATTACTTAAAAGGCTAAATTGAATTATGAGTCTATAACCAATGTCAACATTTTTATAGCTTATGTCTACACCAGTTAACATATACTGAAGAATTTAAATTGTTGTCCAAATTGAGCTTTAAAAAACAATTAAATGCTAATTGTACATTAACATATGTAGCTTTCACTGTAAATTTGTTGTGTGTGTGTGTGTGTGTGTAAAAAATAGGATGTTTACTTAAGGATAACACTTGGATTTAGTACTTTGATTGACCTTGAAAGAAAAAAAGAGAAGGAAACTGATCTAATGCTCAATATTGGTATTACATTAAATATATATTTGAGTATTTATAAAATGGCTTCTTGGAACCTCTAACCAAGAAGCCACATTTTGAATGAGCTATGAACTATTACATTTGTAATTGGTATATTTCTCTTGTGTTTCTACTGACATATTCTTGACCCTTTCTGGTGAAGATGTGATTTGAGTTATAGAGATTCTTCATCTTCTCTTCGGTATTTCAGATAACTAAATTGTAAAGCGTAAACCTTCCCCAAATAGAGATTTTTAGGTCAGAAAATGAAAACTTTGATTATATAATAGCACTCTTCAATCATAATAAAGAAATATGGACTCAAGCTCAGTTTTCAAAATTTTGGATCTTGGTAGTTGTTCTATAGTTTTTCCTATAGTAGAATTCTCATCATTTGTTGTATTATAGGCATCACTTACAGAAAAATGATCTTAAATATTGGTTGATGTTAGCACCAGGTATCTGTCTGGATACAAAAGGTAATCTCTTATCCTGGTGCTCTGTTCTACTTTCTGCTAAACACAAAGGTCATAAAGTGGTAGTCTATGAGCCAGTCTATGTATGTTGCTTTACCTCAAAGGTACATAAGAAAAATGGATTTGAATAACATTAGAGGGATCATGTGATCTTCTAGTTTGTCCTTGTCCCACACTCCCTATTCCCATGTGCCCATTCTCCTCCACTCTCACATTGCTTATCTGGCTTCAGGAAGCATTAGAGCTTGCAATACCAGGATTCTAACTAATCGTTTGTTAAGATGTTTGGGTATCAGGAACCCAGTTCTCTCTTGTCTTGTCCATCTCTGTGTCCCTAACTCCTTGTACATTCAGATACTTGTTGACCTAATCAGTGAACAGAAGACTGAATTAAGTATACATAAAGTACATCGGGTGATCTTTGTTATCCTTGTGGTATTACTCTTTGTTCTCTTTTCTTCCCTGGCTCATGGTCTCATAGTGGTGTTAACACCATGTGTAGGGGTGGCCGTCGATTCCTTCTGGAAGGAAGTGAGAGAATCCCTTTCCAGAGAACTACACTGTTATTCATTAGAAGGACTGAATGCATCTAAGCTTCAACCATGTGGCTTTTCATGTGGATTTTGGGCAGTATTTTACCCCTCCCCCCCTTGTGTTAGCTAGTATTGTGGAAGAGGTCTGCACTTGGCAAAAATGTCCAAAGGGAATGCTGTATTTCTATAGAGTAAGTCAGCAGTGGCCAAATTTATAGAGATGGGCTTGACAGTGATAGTTCCTTGTGTATTTGTCAACATTCAGTTTATTTATACTTCCCAAAGTCTATTTTAAAAGGATGAAATGTACCATATGTCTTTTTTTGGAGTGATGCATGCGTTGATATTTATTTAACGTATATGTGCATGTGATTGTGTGTGTATGTGTGAATGTGTGTGTGTATGAAAATACTGCTTGAATTTCATTCCAAAAACACACAAAACAAATAACAACAATAATAGGATAGTTTTAGTTTTGAAAGAAATTTAGTTAAAAATTGACTTTGCTGCTGAGATGAACATAGGGATTTCTGCTATAGTGATATATGTACACCTTGTGTTTTGAAAAATCAGGCACTAAAAAATAGCAGGGCTTATTCTCAAAAATGGATTGAGGCAAACTGTTGAAATCTATTGAACTTTATAACGAGAATCAAGCCCAAAAACAAATCTAATAAAAATACAGTTTGCTTGAGTCTCCACCTGGCTAGTGTTTGCCCTTAACAGGTCAGTCATCCCTTACAGCCTTGTGCTTAGGCATTGTTACTATGGAAAATCACATGTATTGGAGACAAACATTTAGATTCTAACGATATGGATTATTCTGCATCTTTTGTCTGGTGAGGAGAGGTATAGATGTGGTTGAATTCATAGCACCATCACAATGTATTTCACTCTTCAATAGAATGCCAAATATATGTCAAGCACTAGAGGGATGACATTATGCTCTCAATGAGCCTATGGTTTGGTGGGAGATAGAGTCAAAGCAATTTACACCCTGACCAGAGTGGCTTAGTTGTCTGGGTGTCGTCCCATTCACTGAAAGGTTGTTGGTTTGATTTCCAGAAATGGACAATGGATTAGTTTGAAAGAAGACTAGAAGCAGGGTGACCAGTTAATTATGCTGTTTCAGTAACTGAAACAAGCAGTGTTGGTGGATTGAACTAAGGGAGTGGTAATGGAGATGGAGAGATCTGGGTGTAATCAAAAGATTTAAAAAGAACACAATTTATATATCAGTCAGTATTGTGTTTGGATGCGTATAATAGAAAATATACAGTAACTTAAACAAGATTTTTTTTAAAAAAAAAAATGTGAATTGAAATAAGCATGAAGTTCCAGCTTGGTATTATGCTTTATGAAGCTCTTAGGGTACCAGGCTCCCTCTGTCTCTTTCATCTTCAGCTGTGGCTTCTGTCCTCAAGGTCACTACTTGTTCCAGGATGGTCATGGAGCCCTAGCCATCTTCTTCATAAAG